CTTATATATATACACAAACATTCCTTTAATTTTTAGTATTAATTCTATATCTTTTCTAAGAGGAAAAAAACTTTACTCTTCATATATGTGTGTGTGCGTGCGCGCGCGCGCGTGTGTGTGTGTGATAGAATTAAATAGAAAAAATCTATAATTAATTCAAAAGTTAAAAAAAAACACTTGTTTCATATAACTAATTTTATATAGAGTGTATCATAAAATTTAAAATTCATTTTTATCAATGAATTAATTGTAACTACCTTCTCTGGTGCTCATAATTATTAGTTATTCGACGTTCATCTTGATATTTTATTGATCTGCGAGACCTGTATAAATTTGGCATTATTAGCATAAATAATGAAATATTTTGTGTTGCTGTTATTTATGTATATACTATATATACATATATACTATACTATGTATATACTATGTATATACTATAACAAATTATTATTGTCTGTAATGTATAATATATGAAACAAATGTGATTGATTATATAATAAATATTTAAATTAAAAATAGAAAAATTTGAATAAATTTGTCAAAAAAGAGATTTTATAGTAATTTGTAGACAGAGATTTATCTTATTCAGATATATAAACAGATGCAATTTTCTTCTTTAGATACTAATAAAAAAATAAAATATAAAATCAGATACTGATAAAATAAAAAATAAAAATAAATACTGATATAATAAAAAATGAAAATAAATACTGATAAAATAAAAATCAATCAACATTATATTCAACTTTATATCCATAATACATCCAACTTTATATCCATAATACATCCAACTTTATATCCATAATACATCCAACTTTATATCCATAATACATCCAACTTTATATTCATAATGCATCCAACTTTATATCCATAATATATATATTTAACTTTATATCCATAATATTTCGACGCAAACATAATAGATAAAAAGTAGAAAAATTATTAAGATATTCATACTTATTTTTCACTGCATATATTATCTCAAAAATCAAAATTCTAAGTATAAAGAAAAGAAATTATGCAAAATATGCAGATAATTTATATATTAATGATAGATCCTTATTCAGTAAACGATAAAACAAAAGAAATTCTTTTTTTTTTTCTTATTTGTAAAATCAAACTTAATTAAATCAACTTTATATCCATAATCATATGTATCTATGTATGATACATATTTCTGATGTGTGTAGCACACAACATCTAATATTCTATTTATTAATATAAATAGAATATACAGAATATAAAAATATAACTTATATATAGTTTTAATCATAATGGTCTAATATAATGCTATAATACTTACCATATTTTTAATAATAATGAGAGAACATACCTGTGTGTGCATACAACAGAATTTTCATATTGTCATCTCTAGTTTTCATATATATGTACACATTTATATATACCTTCATATAGTTTTCAAATATATGTACACATTTATATATACCTTCATATATTTTTCTTCCACATTAAGCTGTATAATCTGAAAGAACTTCCACAAAAGCTGTATAATCTGTCAAACTCACATATTTATTTCGATACCATCCAAGTATTGATTATCCACGTTGTTAAAAGAAAATGGCAATTCCTTTTCTTTCAACTAATTCTTCTTGAGATTATTTTTTTTTTTAAAGAAATTGAAGAAATTTTGCTTTTAATCTCTTCAATTTCTAGACTTCTGAAACATTTCAAAATAATGTAAGTGAATTTTTTTTTACAAATTCAATAAAGTCCTTGCAATGAATGCATTTGTTCTTTGGAATACTGGAACCTTTATCTATTATAGATAAAGAAAATTAATGAACAATACACACACACACATGCATACTTATATGTTATGTATAGGGTGTCCCTAAAATTTTGACAAAGCGCTCGGCGGTAGACTGGACGGATACACGCTTATTCGGCGATCTTTAGTAATTAATAACTCGTTAACTGTTGCAAAAATTGCAAAATGGTACAGGACTTTTCGATTCAGTTTAG